GGCATTGTATAATTATAAAATACATTAATTAATTAATACAGATAAAAATTTACGGCTTAACGCATGTCCCAGTACGCCTTGTTAGGTAATAGCGATCGAAAATATCCGCATGAAATTTTTTATCAAGTCCTTGATTTAAAAAAAAAAAGTGTATATTGTGAATTCTCTCAGATCAATATATGCAATGGTTGGTGATTTTTTTAAAATTAAGCATTAAAATAAATGGGACTAAATTGAAGAAGAGGCGGATTTTTGTCACGTCCCAATGATTGTAAAAATGGTATAGGCAGGAAAAAGCAAGATGCAAAGAATACAAATTCGAAGCCACTACGTGCGATGAAAGTTCAAGAATTGTGCAGAAGGTCCGCTTTCACTGACCCATTTTCAATAACGGGTCATACCTACACACATCCGTGAGAAGAATGAAACCATTCAAGGCCATATTTCTACCTTGTAATCATTTCCTTTTTAGAATATTTTAAATTATGGTAATAAGGACCAGTTGTATTGTTTGAATGTCTTAATCTTGAAGTATTTATCTAGCTTGCGAAGAACTAAATTCATTTCGAAAACAGAACAGCAAACTGTATTACGAAAAATGTTATTTTAATTTTACCTGTTATCATTGAATCGCTGTAAAGAAATTAATTAAAAATCTTATATACGGTTTTATTTCTCTAAAATGCAAATACTGTGGGGAAAGACGAGAAAATTAAAAATAACTAAAATTTCGACTTTTTAGGTGCCTTATACAAACAGAACAGAACGTACACTATAAAAGTGTTGTGATACCAACAATTAAATGCGAATTGATCAAGCTAATGAACATACAACAGCGTTAGATAAAAATGTCAGCTTTCTCTTTGTCGGTTGTACTTGCATGCTGACCTATTTACAGAGATGATTTTCATCTCTTGCAAAATGTCCACCTGCATAGTTAATTTAACGAAATGTGTGCAGAATTCTAGCTTCCTTATTAGTAAGAACAAACATGGGTTTGATAGCTTAAAATATTCATTATTTGAAATGACCACTGGAAAACTCAAGGCATAATTTTTTTAAAAACCAAAACTGACAAAATACTTTATGAATTTCTTAAGGAAAATGCTTTATTGAAAGAGGAAAAAGAATATTCTCTTTGTAATTTCAATATTATTGCTGAACGTGATTTATTCACGATCAATACTATTGCTGATCGATTATTTTTAAAGCTAATAAATATATTTATTATTATACTAATAAGTGATATTTTTAATATCACTTTATAGGAACTATTAGGTATTTCATTTCCGAGCAAGATACGTAAAATAGGTACAATGCCTTCTACGAGAGTCGAAGTTTGGACCTACCGACTTGCTAGCTGCACTTGCATTCAATCAAACTTAAGGAACGTGGGAATGCTTGCACGTGGCACTCAGGGTTTTCTTCACGAGTTAAAGGGCGACTAGAGAGGAACAGACCCAACGGTCAAGTCCTGGTGGTGACACATATTATCATCTGCTCTACTTGCTCATATACCGTCCTTAAACAGTTACTATCTTTAATTTTTCTGCAATTAAAATCACAGTTCTTCAGAGTTTAGGTGATGAAGATGAGAGTGATTTCGGGAAGATTTCGATATCCGTAGAAATAAATTATTCAGTTCTTTGGGGAACAGCAATCGAAAGATTTTGAAGGATTTTGTTTGATTTCAGATCTTTCATAGAATCATGAAGGAATTATCTTGTGCAATCAATTGGTTAGTCGAAGTAGGAAAAATGGGCAATACGCTGGCCTGGATACGAACTCCAGACCTTCCGACTGCCAGTTGGACGTGCTTACATCTTGAAGGCAAGCTGTAAGGAGAGAGGAAATACCTTATGCAAAAATAACCTTATCAGATACTTTCTTGGCCTAAATTTTTATATTCTTTATGTTTTTCCGCAGTCTGTTACGCAATATATTTTAGGGAAATAAATCTTTTGGCATTTTGAGATGATATTTTGTATTGTGATCACATTTAGAAATATAACATGATGTCCTTGATCCGAAATGAATGTTCGACTCAAATATTTAGAAAGTATAAACAAAATATTTTGTAATTTTATTAAAATGTTTCACATTAAAAACACCTATAGGTTAATCTTTCCACTTTCGGCCCAGTCTTGGCAGTGGACAAGTCGTTAAGACCGATGAATACTGGAAATTCGATTCATACCCGATCCCAGATTTTCTCCGTATATAGTTGAACACGAGTCAATATATTTTAGAAAGGTTCTCTATAAAGACATCTCTTTCCTAAGCCAGAGAGTCCTTGTATGCTTTACTATATTCCAACAATTCATTACTCAATTCAATTCAAATTCAAGATTCAATTCAAATTTTTATCGTTATATTGGGCAATTAGGTCATTTATCACCCCCCGACGGGCAAATATTGTGATTTGAAAAGGCATAAGTCTTTCGTTTACTCATTTCCGCTGCCAAAAGTTATCAGAAGTGTTGATATTTGACGTGCCTCAAGATTTTTAATTTATCTTTCAAATTTAAATAAGATATTGCTTAATTAACTGGGCAGTTTAAAAAATACAATTTTATTTCTCAGTAATTATAATATGATTAAATTTTTATTGCTACCTCAGTTGTTAGAAATAATAAGACATGTTAATCAAAGGATTTGTAACATACATATATAATTAACGATGTTTACTTTATCTGTCGTTTATTTTAATATTTGCTTTTGTTTTAACCTTTGCCGTTTCCTTTCCAGTTTTACCTGTTTTAATTATTGTTTGCATTGCTGGTTATTAAAACATTTGGGTTTATTTAAAAAACATTTGTGCTTCTTCCAGATTTTATTAAGTTAATAATTGATGCTCGAACCATAAAAGTGTACACCTGAGTAAAAGAAAAGTAATTTGCGCGTCATTTAACAATCAGATTTCAATTCAAAAGTACTGAATGCTTAAGATTCAATTCAAATTTTTGTCAACAAAGCTTAAAGAAACATTTCGCTTAAACATATTAACTGTGAATATTTATACAGATTACTTGAAAAATTTGACTGCGCAAAGTAAAAGGCTTTGAATATCTTCGTATAGGAAACAAAGGTCTGAAAGTGTTCGAATTTTAACGGTCGCCCAAAAGGGATTTTAGCGTTCTTTTTTACTCCCTTACTACCAGTCTACTATTACACTCACCTCTGCTAAACCATTTCTTTTCACATTTTAAGTTTTTATTAAACATCGGTCTCTTCGCGCATATGCGTCAACAACAAATTAAAAACATTTTAAAAGCTTTATAGCAGGATACGTTTAGAATTCCCGATGTAGCATTTAGTGTTGGCATGAATTTTTATATCTTTTTTATTCTTTTCTCAGTTCCTCAAATCAATGTTCAGTTTTCTTAGTAAGATGACTTGAAAACATTTTTTGTCTTTTTATTTTTAATTTCTAAGTTATTTTTATTTATTAAATATCATGTTTTTCGCATTTACGCTACACAAATTTCAACAGCGAAATCAAAATATATTTAAAAATAGCATAATTATATAAAACATTTTTCTATTTCTTATCATTAATGTTTTGTTTGTTAAATTTATTAACTAAATATCACGTTCATCGCACTTTATACCGCATAGAATTCAGTCCAACAGCAAAATCACAAAAAACGGAATATTTTTGGAATTTCCGATATGCAAAGCACTGGGGATAAAAGTGTTTTATTCTGCACAGTGTTGCAACTTCTTTTAAATCGTTGAGTTGCTTAATCAAAACTTCATTAAAGTCATACAAAATGGGAAATATAAAATTTGAAATTCAAAATTGAGGTTTCCAGGTGCACATGTTCGGGTGGAGCACTATATTATTTAAAATTTGCTGGCTCTATGTACCGTCGTATTTTCGCAGTGAGAGGAACATACATACATTCAGATTCTTCATTATTTAATGTGTTAAAAAATAATACAGGGCGATAATATTTGATGAGAAAAAACTGTATCAATTCGTAGGGTATTTATTGCAGATGATTCTTTAATAGCATTTTACTGAATTCTATATAACAAAAATCGCAGTAGTAATAAAATACTGCAAAATATGCTTATTTAATCAAAATCAGCGTTATATTTGGAAATTTTCCGGGACTAGGTCCGATGGTTTAAATACTGAACAAACTTCCTCAGCTGCCAAAGTGCAAATGAACGAGGTTATGAAAGAGATTCCATTTTTCTGCAGCCAACATTGTTCAAAAATCATCTTCCATTGGTGAATTAGATTTTCTAGAGGCGTTTTACATTTAAAAAATTCTTTCTGTTCTAGTTAACGACCCTTATTCCAGTTCATCTTTACCTTCAGCCTTCAATGAAATTGTGTTTAAGTTTTATTGTTTCATCAATAGATGGCGCCAGTAGCTTATCTCCTGTCCAGTCATTCTTATCGTATTTTATCCCCATATCTTATCTCGTACATTTGCAATTTGGCAGCTGAGGAATATGGTTCGGTAGTTAAACTGTCAAAACTAGTCCTGGAAAATTTGCAAATACAACCCTAATTTTTGTTTTATGACTTCTAAAATAATTCCAGTATTTATCATTCTTTACACTTTAACAAACTTATAATATAAACATTTTGTTAGACTCTACATGCATGCAGTCCAGTAGCTGAACATTTTACACAGCAAATTGATAACACAAGAAGATGAGTTTTATTGCGTAGCGCCACAAAACTAAACAAATTTCTCGCACCTATCCAGCAATAAATATTTCTTGGGGCAACTATCCCTGATTTACAATTTTTGCGCAAGCGCTCCTTAATTTAAAATTGAAGCTAATTTGGTTGTAAACCTATTGCACACCTACGGTTATATATCTTAAGAAGTAACTCAAGAGAATAGTACAGCATCATACATTTTGACAGAAAATAAGTAAAAAGTACTTATGTAACAGTTTATGGTGGAAATGCATAGAAGAGTAAGATACATTTTATTTTGAGTCAGTTTAATACGTCTTTTTTTATTTTTAGGTTTAATACAATGGCAGCTAGGAAGAAACGTATCACAGTCATCGGTGGTTGGTTTGCAGGTTTCTGTTCAATTGTTATGCTCAAAGAGGAGGAACTGGAACCAGTTTGCTTTGAACAGGCGGATAATCCTGGTGGCACATGGTTTTATAGAGAAGAGTCCATTGATGGTCTTGGATCCCTGATGGCGAATACTGTCCTTAACACTAGCAAGGAAATGAGTGCAATTAGTAATTTTCCCCCACGCAAGGAATTTCATAACTATATGAGACCTCACGAGATGTACCAGTACTTTACTGAATACCACAGTCAATACGATTGCTTAAAACATGTGAAATTTAATATGATGGTTACTTCAGTCAAGCGCTGTGAAGATTATGATGAAACTGGAAGATGGGAGGTGACTGCAAAAAATACAGTAACAGGAGAAGAACTTTCTGATGTCTATGACGGTGTATTGGTTTGTGTAGGCCACATGAATCGGCCTGTAATTCCAAAATACCCGGGCCAAGAAAACTTTAAAGGAAAAATTATACACACACACAGCTTTAAAGAAGTAAATGAATTCAAAGGACAGACTATTTTGGTTGTAGGTATAGGTAGTTCTGCTGTAGATGCTGCTGTAGGAGTCAGCGATGTAGCCAAACAGGTAGGATTTTCAGTATTTGATTTTTAATATTTATTGCTTTTAATGACATAAATTTCGTTCGTTCGTTGAAAAGATGAAATATCTCGGTGTTATTATCGGTACGAAATTAAATTTATTGGATCATTTTAAGGATGTATAAAAAAGAACTGATGGTATTTTGAAATATTATCGCAACAGTTTTACTGCGGAAACTCTTGTAAAGAAGATATCTACCTTGTTGTTTATTTTTAAAGATGTAGTAATTCCAATTATCATGTATGGCACTGACGCATGGGGCTATAGGGCGGGGAACTTGTGAGAATTAAACAGAAATTAGATACAATACATAGAGGCTGGATGCTTGCGGCGACGCGGGCTTTTCGAACCGTTTCAAAAGCTTGTGTGCTTGCCGGTGTGCGGCCCCTCTCATATCAATATGGCTTTTTCTATAATAAATTTTTAATTAAAAAATATTTTACAATATTGGAAATCTCTAATATAGAATTAAAAAGTGATACCTTTGAACAATGCCTTGAATTGATTCCCCCTCCAGATAAATTTGGACTAAAATTATGATCGATTATTACGTACTGTAAATACTGATGGTTCGGGCCCAGGAGGAAATGTTGGTTGCGCATTTGTAGTGTATTATTACGGAACTGAGACTGACCACAAAAAAAATCTTATTAAATTTCATGAATACAGTGTACCAGGCTGAATTATATGCAATATTAGAAACTTCGACCTAGATTGAAAATAAATTATCTGGTGGTCAACGTGTTCACATATTTTCTGATGCACTATCGGCCTTGCAATCACTTTCTGCACTTGGGTTTGGCAATAAACTTACTGGGAATATTAAAATGAAATATAGAAATCTACGTACAAAATATAATATTAAGATACATTGGATTAAGGCACATGTAGGTTTCCATGGTAATGAGAGGGCTGACGTACTGGCAAAACAAGCCACACTTGGCAACTGTAAAAAAATTAAACTGCAGGGATCTAGGAGAACGACTATTGGAATTTTATAGAATAGTATATGAAAAATGGAAAAAATATTCAGATTCCTCGGATTATATGTGTACTGTACAGATTTATAAAGGAAGAAAGCGCTACACTGATATACATCTGAATCAGGTTTGGACGGTACATGGACGTTTTCCCATGTACTTTGAACAGATTTTCCCTGCAGGGAAACAATCTTTGTCGGCTATGTAGAGTAAGAGGTGAAAATGCTCACTTCGTTGAAATCTTTGGTCTGATTTCTAGTATTAGAGATAAAATGAAAATCGAATTTCCAAGAGATCTTAAGGATTATAGTAAAATGCTGCTTTACTCCAGGGAAATAATGAATATTATCAACGCACAGACATACTTGGCCGGAGTAAATGAGTGAATAATGTGTATTTGTTTAGTTTTCTTTATGTATGGTTTTATTACATATTCAACTGTTTATTCTTTTTTTTTTTTTTTTTTTTTTTTTTTTTTTCAGTTCGTTTTTATTTTATCGGGCTGGCCTCTAAAAAAAACTTTGTGGCTGAATCATCGGCCGCGGAAGCTGCTTTGCCTTTGTAGTAACATAAATTTCATCTTTCCGCTAGTTAACATCTTGCCAACGTAAAGAATCAGTACGTTAGTAATAGCTGTTGCTCCTTCCGTATGTTCAATAGTTTGGATCTTGGGAATTTTAAAAATTTAGGAAAAAACAGCAAATTTTAGTTTTCCATTTTCTAAAATTATAACAAGCAATTAAATGAAATTAATATATTAATTTAATTAAATTATTTTTAGTTTAAAAAGGTAGAGAGTTTATTGGTTTCATATTTTTTTAATAAAATTAATGTAAAAACTTTCATAATCAAAGTTTAATAAAATGTATCCATTTAATTTTGAAAGCATTTTTCGGATAATGTAATTTTTACATAGAAAGTATGCTATGTAGTTTATCTACTCGATGTATCATATTCATCAGTATACACTGGTGTGCAAAAATTAAGGACGAAGTCGAAAAATTAGCATATCAGCTGAACGAAGAGGCAGAGCGGACAGAAAGACCAATCAGGAGATTAAGTAAGGTGATGTACGGTAGCATATGCGCAGATATGCAGGTAGATGTAATGGGGGAGTATCTGAGTAGTATAAAGCATGTTGTCGGTGTAAGATCAGTATTTTTGGCAAAGAGATTGCACGCCGTATAGCAGTTAAAATCACACCGAGTTGCTGCCTCAGCGAGAAATGGCGAATAATCAATCTGTTAGACGACATCTGAATACTTTTACCCGAGGTCGAATCATTGGGAAGTTGGAGGAAGGCCGCAGTGTGACAAGTGTGGCTGCAGAGTTCGGAATTGCATCACAGCATCGTTTCACGACTTTGGAGACAATTTCAAACTACAGGAACAGCTATCCGGGGGTTTAGTAGTGGTCGTCCACGAGGAACCACACCCGCAGATGACCGGTATATTGTCTTACACGCCAGAAGGAACAGGCGGCAGACAGTGGGAGAAATCGCTAGACACACGACACAGGCGACTGGACGACAGATATCGCGTTTTACCGTGGCCAGAAGACTGCACGGTGGTGGTATGTTTGCACGACGCCCAGTACGGTGTATACCTCTAACACCTGCCCATCGGAGAAGGCGTTCTCTGTGGTGCCGGGAACACCGGAATTGGAGAGACAATGAATGGGGACGAGTACTCTTTACAGATGAGAGCAGATTCAGTCTGAGTAGCGATTCTCATCGCATACTCATCTGGAAGAGAGCGGGGAAGCCGCAATCACCCTCGAACATCATTGAAAGGGACAGGTATGGAGGTGGCGGTGTTCTCGTTTGGGGAGGCATCATGCTCGGTAGTCGTACAGACCTTCACATCTTCGACGCAGGTTCAATCAACGGGACCCGTTATTGTAACGAGATTCTTCTTCCATATGTGCGTCTTTTAGAGACGCTATGGGTCCGCAGTTCCTTTTCATGCACGACAATGCACCATGTCATCGCACAGTAGCTGCCGAACAGCTCTTAGAGAGTGAGGATATTGAACGTATGGATTGGCCGGCAGGATCTCCGGATCTCAATCCCATCGAGCATGTATGGGATTTTCTAGGCAGACTCTTGACAGCTCCTACCTTACCACCAGTAACGATTCCGGAGCTTCGATTGGCGCTGCAAGACGAATGGGCAGCAATGCCTCAACAACTCATTGACACCCTCATTCTCAGCATGGGCAGACGCTGTGAAACCTGCCTAGCAGTCAGGGGAGATCATATCCCCTATTAAAGACCGGATGGTTCTTGCTGGACACCCATCACAGGGATGTTTCGGCCTTCAATCGTATTGCGCTCCATGCTACTTTTTCAATAAAGCTTCTTTTTATCCCTCTGATTTTCTCTTTTAGTAAGTGTTGCTTACATTACTCATGTCCTTACGTATTGGTGATCTTACGGTATTAAATGTGTTGATTTGGAAAGCTTTTGTACAAAGTTATATTGAAAAAAAACCGTCTCGTCCTTAATTTTTGCACACCAGTGTATACCGCAATGTATCATGTATTTAGAAAATAGTTTTTATTTTAAAATGTCAAATACCGAAGAAAACAGAAAATCTTGCTTCCATTTATATAAGAAATTAAGCAGTTAAAATGATGTCTTTTTAAATGAATTGCATTTTAATTCTTAACTAATTTGAAAGCATTGAGGATGCATATTACCTTTTCTACGAAAAACAAATTATATAGATATTAACAATATGGATATCCTGTTATAATATATAGCGTATAAAGTGAATTGAAATCATTAGTACAATGCCTAATAGTAGCTATAATAGTGATACAGTGAACTGTTTAGTTATATGGTGTTATTGTGATATTTGAACACGCTGTAATCCGTAAGCGTTTAACATGTGCTTTTTGAAACACGTGCTTTTAACAAATGTTGATAACAAGCAACAGTTTGAATAAGAGAACTAAAAGATATAACAGATACATATCGATACCGTCTGAACTAATTCAGCAGTTTGTTAAGTTGTTTGTTCAGCAATTTGTTAAGTTGTTTGTTTGTACATATTTTCTGAATGGAGTGCTGTAATCAGCAGATTCAAGGCAATGCAAACTGTTCAAAGGTTTTTAACATTTTTATAATCTGTTCCCAGGATAAAAATTCTAGAATAAAAATCAATGAATTAAACTCACTTGTTGTTAATATTCCTCTTTTTCGCAAAATTATATCAAATCAAGAACTTTTAATAATTTCTATTAAGTACATGAGATATTCTCGAAATTTTGTAGCTAATTTTATTTACAATATTCCTTTCCTTATTATTTAATGTGTTAATTAATCCAGATTTAATATTACGAATAATTTTGCTTATCTGTGATCAAATCATAGTTTGCTCTTATTGTATTTTTGCACGTAGTTTTAAAACATTTATGAAAATTTTAATGCCTTGTTTTTAGTGTCACTGGATGTCAATGAATATTTTTATATGTACATTATCCTTTTCCCGTGGGCTCGAAAAACAGTTGTATACCTTCACTGGGGGCTCTTGGCTAAGTGGTTATGGAAAGGGGGTAAATTATCGACTCGAGCCCTTAACGAGTGCGTGATTAGGGTTCTTTTGTCGGCAGGCAGGCAAACGCTCAGGATTTCCTTTCAATCTAGTTCCAACGCTCAAGGCGTTAGAATGCGGGATGTACTCTAATCGCTTTCACACTGCAGGTAGATGAATACAGTTTTCCCAAGAAAAAAAAAAGTATTATTTTACCTTTAAATGAAATGTATGCTATAACTAGAAATTTTGTTCAAGAAGCGTTCCATTTTACGATTAAAATATTTTTTTAAACTTGCACCTATATTATGTACTAAAAAACTAGCGAAATATTCACTTGTCATCGTATTAATAACAAGTGAATTCGTACTGATCTTGATTTCAAACATTTCCTTCAAACAATATATGCATTTTCATTTTTAATAGTATTATTATTCTGATATTGAAGAGCAAATTCAATAGAGTTTATT